CCTTGCTCTGTTCTGACGACTACCTCCTGGTCCAAATATAGACGGCATACCAATAGACATATTTCAATAAATTAGACACTGACCAATTTGTGCCTAAAAGTCTGGAGGACAACCATTTGGCCACCTGACTGGAAGAGATGTATATTTGTTCCCATTCCAAGCAAAGATGAATGGACAGAGTGTGGAAATTATCAAATAATATCAGTGATAACACATGTAAGCAAGATTCTGCTGAAGATTATCCAAAAACAGCTGAAGAGCACATCAAGAGAGAACTGCTTGAAGTGCAGGATAGGTTTAGAAGAGGCCATGGTACTAGGAATACTACAGCTAATGTTAGATGGATCTTGGTGCTGAAAGCAGGGCGTACCAGAGGAATGTCTATCTGTGTTTCATTGTTTTGTGATAAATACATAGTATACTATATAATTATGTGATTCAAAGTGGCCATAGCTGGTCCATTGCATCTAACTAATGCTTAGTATGTCAATATGCATCTGTAAATTCCATGTATCAATTGTTAAACCATGTTTATTACTGATTTTCCTTATTTCAACTGACTTCCAATCTGGGCTCTACAACTACACTACTATAACTATCCTCTTTGTTTAGTTTTCAAAAACCTTTTATTTAGGAAGTAGATGGCCCATCCTGTTTCCAAGTCTTAATCAGGGACCTCTTCTAAAATTGTCCATGATAGGAAACCCTTTTTGAATGGAATTTGACACACCAGTGGCAAAGATTTCAGTATCATAGCAACCTCAAATAATCTCAGTACAGAAAACTGACAAACAAGTGCTTGTACCCTTAGAAAGTTCTCTCTAAGCACAATCAATACCAGGCCCAAGGACCAACCAACTTTTAAATACAAAGGCCCAGCCACCAGATCCTGTTTGCTTACACAAGAGGCTTCCTATCCAAGCTGAATGTAAATGAGATCAGATACAGTTAATCAGCTTACACTTGATTGCTAATACAATTATAAATGCTCAGTTTACCCTAGCTTTCAAGAATGATTGAATTTTGTATTTACAATGATCTATTCATCTCAAACACTTTTTCTAAAAGACACAAAAGATGACTTTACATGTGGATTGCCTTTAAATGTGGATTTCACCCAATAAGCTGCAGAGGAATCAGACTGACTATACTTGTGGAAGAAATCATTGGAAAGTTCAGTATCAACAGTCAAAAGAAGGCCAGGGCAGGCTGTGGGTCAAATCATCAATTACTCATATGCAAGTTCAAATTGAGGCCGAAGAAAATGAAAATAAGTGTGCAGTAACCAAGACAGAATCTTGAATTCCATCTGAATTTCACGATCATCTTAAGAACAGGTTTAAGGCACTGAACACCAATGACAGAGTAAGAGATAAAATCAAGGATATCATCCACGAAAAAAGCAAAAGGTCACTACAAAAACAGGAGAAAGAAAAAAATCAAAATAGATGTCAGAAGACACTCTATAAAGATTGCACTGGTGCACTGAGAAGCCAAATCTAAAGGAAAACATGTTGAAGTGAGAGCTGAACAGATGATTTCAAAGGGCAGCTCGAGAGGACAGAGCAAAGTATTAGAATGGAATGTACAGACATCTGGAATTGGAGAATAAAAAGGGAAGAACTAGCTCTGAATTTCTCAAGCTGAAAGCACTGAAAAACAAATATAAGCCTCGTGTTGCCATGTTGAAAGGTACTATGGGCAATATATTGAATGATCCAGAAAGCATCAAAAGAAGATGGAGGGACTACATAGAGTCACTGTACCAGAAAGAATTGATGGACACTGAAAAATTTCAGGAAGTACCATATGAACAGGAGCCAATGGTAATGAAGGAGGAAGTGGAAGCTGTATCGAAGGCATTGGGAAAAAATAAGGCCCCAGAAATTGATGGGATACCACCTGACTTGTTTCAATTAAGATGCAGCCTTGGATGCACTCACTAGCCTTTGCCAGGAAATTTGGAGGACAGTTGTCTGGCCAATAGATTGGAAGACGACCATATCTGTTCCCATTACCAAGTAGGGTGATCCAACTGAATGTGGAAATTATCAAACAGTATCATTGATATCACATGCAAGCAAAATACTGATGAAGATCATTTAAAAATGACTGGAACAGTATGTATATAGGGAACTGCCAGAAGTTCAAGCAGGATTTAAAAGAGGCTGTGGCACCAGGGATATCACTGCTGATTTCAGATGGATCTTGGCTGGCTGAAAGTGAGAAATACAAGAAGAATGTCTATTTGTGCTTTATTGACTGTTCAAAAGTATTTGTGTGGATCATGACAAGCTATGGCTGACATTGAAAAGAAAGAATTTCAGAGCACCTGATTGTGCTCATGTAGAACCTATACCTGGATCAGGAGGCTGTTGTGCGAACAGAACAAAGGAGCACTGCAAGGTTTGGAATTGAGAAGGGAGTGTTTCAGGGTTGTATTCTCTTTGTTCAATTTCTATCTGTTCAATCTATATAATGATCAAATTATCCAGGAAGCTGGACTCTATGAAGAAGAATGTGGAATCAGGATTGGAGGGAGACTTATCAATAACCTGTATTATGCAACCTTACTTGCTAAAGTGAAAATGACTTGAAGCACTTATTGCAGAAGATCAAGGAATGCAGTCTTCAGTATAGTTTGTGTCTTGATAATAAGAAAAAGATTCTTACCACTGTACCAATAGGCAGTGTCATGATGGATGGAGACGAGATCGAAACTATCAATAGCTTCATCTTGCTTGGATCCACAATTAACACCCCTGGTACAAGCAGTCAGAAAATCTGCATTTAAGGACTTTTCCAATTTATTGAGAAGAGTAGTGATGTCAGTTTGAGGACTAAAGTGAGTCTGATTCAGGGCATAGTCTTTCTGATTACTAACTATGTATCTGAAACCTGGACAATGAATAAGGATGACAGAAAAAGAAATGACGCTTTTGAGCTCTGGTGTTGGAGAAGAGCACTGAACATTCCATAGGCAGCCAAAAGGAGGGTGTGAAGCCAGAGTGCTCTTTGGAGGCAAAAATGATGAGGCTTTGACTCACAAACTTTGGACATATTGCTAGAAGGTCCTACTCTTTGGAGAAAGACATGATGTTGGGAAGGGTGGAGGATTGGTGAAAGAGAGGAAGACCCTCAACCAGGTGGATTGATACAGTGACTGCTGCAATGGGCTCTTGTGTGTCAGGAAGTGTGAGGATGGCGCAGGACAGGAATGAGTTCAGATGGTCATTATGAGTTGTACTCGACTAGATGGCATGTAACAGCAACAGTTTGAGTTGGTTTCTATCATTTACAATCTCAAAAAATCTTAAACTAATATAACTACAGGAAAACAAACAGACAAACAAACATATGCCACAAACATTTTTATCTGGACACGTTACTGCAAACAAACATATGCCACAAACATTTTTATCTGGACACGTTACTGTTATGTGCTATTAAGTTGCCTGCAACTCATAGTGACCCTATATACAATAGCCCTAAATCCTGCTCTATCCTTTGCCAATCTCACTGTCTCTGTATGCCTACTCCCATCCCCCCAGTCACTGAATCAATCCATCTCATTGAGTCTTCCTCTCTTGCACTATCCCTCCACCCTCCCAAGCATGACGTCCCTCTCCAAGAACTGGTCCCACCTTGCAACATGTCCAAAGTATGTCAGATGAAGCTTCAGAATCCTTGCCTCTAAGTAGCAGCCTGTCTCACCCTCTCTAGAACGAACCTGTTTGTTCTCCTAGCATTCCATGGTATATATTCAATACTCTTCTCCAGCATCACAGCTCAAATCAGCTAGTAATGTCATAAATTTACATAAAAAGTAAATTTAACTCTTAAGCTTCCTCTATCTTGAAATGTAAAAGGCCAACCTTGGGTTCAAAAAGATATATTCTAATGTTGTTATTGTGTGCCATTGTGTCAGAACTTACTCATGTCTGACCCTTCAGTAGCTTTTCAGAGGCTGTAAATAGCACAACATCTATCTCCCATGGAAAAGCTGGAGGATTCGAATCATGTGTGTTTAGGTTGGTAGCACTACTCTTTACCACTGGGCCACCAGAGCTCCCTATATTCTAATGAACATGTATTTTCAAACTGAATTTGCATATGACCATTTTTGCGCCTAATTCAAATCACATCTTTTGTTCTTGATTAGAATCTTTGGAAAACTGGGCCAAAGCACTCTTAGTCAGAAAGCAGCCATCGCCAGCAGTGTCACACAATTACTGACAGAAGAACATAATGTGGACAAGCACTAGTAAGAAGTCTCTTTCACTTAGGCCCTGAAAGAAATGAAAATAAAGCAAATAGAGATTTGATAATAGAAGCAGAAATAGTATAAGAAGGTCCTGAGTTACTATTGAATAAGCACTGGTAGTATTTGACACATGAATATATAACCCTAAACACACTTGTTTTAGTAAAGCAGAAACCATTAAATATTTTTATGGTTAGCATAAAAATTACCAGTAATACAACTTTCTAAACAATTTAAGGTAAAGCATCAAAAATATATGAATCTAAATTCAACTGAACATAATAAAAACCTCAGATAATCTCTTTTGATTGTTTTTCTTAGCTAATTGTATGGAGAAAAAAAAGAACAACTAAAGTTTGTAGTAGCTCAAAAAAGAATAGTGAGTCTTAAAGGTGCAAAAAGTTTGTAAACACCAACTAAATTAAGACTCTAATCACATAGGTAAAATAGGAGTGAATAAGCTAGAACTGTTGTTTTCTCTTTCCAGTCTAGTTCTAGTACCACAAATCTGCCCAGCTAGCCAAATTTTATTAATGAGAACTCAAATATAATCTTATTTTCATGTGGGCAGGGTTAAATAAAGGAATTAATTGAGAATTTAAAGTTATAAGAAAATCACAATGATTTTTGAGGAGGTTTTTTTTACACTCTAAATAATTAAAATAAATAATACATGCTGCTTATTACTAGAAATAATTTGTTTTTCCTTGCATGCAGTTAACATAATGATACCAACCTGGACAACTTTAGGTAGACTTCCAATAATGCTTTAGCAGCCTCCAGCATGTCATCATCCTGTTCTATGAAGATCCTAGACAGCCACTCACATGGACTATGTAAGCGGGGAAAAGGCTGGAGATAAGGCTTTAAGAAGTTCAATAATTCAGACATGTATCTCTGTAAATCAACTTAAAAAAATCAGAAATTTCAAAACATAAAAATATAGGCAACCATGCATGAATACTTTAGTAACATTCTGTCTGTATATAATTTATAATGGACAAAGTATCTGAAATGCACTATCATAGTACAGACTTTCAAACTGTCCTGTGAGTTAGAGATTATCACTGATTTGCAAATAAAAAACAAACAAGTTCAGAGAAGACAAAATGCAAAAGCAAATCAAACTTCCAGATGTGAAGTCCATTCTAAATGCTAGTAATGCTACAGAGCAAAGCAGAACTTCCCTATAGGATTGCCAGGCTTAAAAATCTTCATGGAAGCAGAACATCTTTCTTCCACAGAGCAGCATGTTGGTTTGAAACTCTGACCTTTTACTTAGGAGCCAAGCACTAAAACTACTTTGCCATCAGGGCTCCTGGACAGAGATACTGCTAAGAAAGACAAATATCATCTTCAATATGAATTCTTATTTATATTATGCTATTTATATTCTCAAAATCATACAAACAATAACAGAGACTACTTTACTGAATGCCATAATTAATGTGTTCCTAGATGCTACAATGGAACTAAACAAAGAGCACTGCTTCCAAAATAACATCAAAAGAATTTTGTGTATTTAAAGTATTAAAAAATGTACTAGTTAGATAAGAATGTAAAACACAAAAAAAGGTCCTGGGGTGTTTTAACTGCAGTTTAAAACTCTGAATTACATAAAATATGCCACCTTCTGTTTTAAATGACAACTGTAAAAAATTTTATCAAATGTGCAGTAGTAAAAGCTAAAAATATCCGAAGTAATTCAGGGAAAACAGTGCTTACAATTTAAACAAATTTTCGCTTTTGATGCTACTTATTTAGACCGCTGATTTTCTGTTTTTCTCGATGAAATAGTAGGTGTGCTTTCTCTAACAATTAAATTGAGTGTCACTCTTTAAGTGGTATTTTTCATCTAATTTAATGTCCAGGATATCACAAGCCAACTAATCATGTAACATGCTAATTACAATTTACTTTCTAATTATCAGTAATCTCCAATATCAAATATACTAATTTTACAAAGGATAATAAATAATATCCCCTTCAGTACTGGTGGCTTAGTGAGGGAACTGCAGAGATGCTGACCAAAAGGGGAACAGATGAATCCACTCACTGCTCTGTGGAAGAGGCAGGGAGAAGTCTACTCCCACCAAGATTTAGAACCTTGCAAACTGCCAGAGGTCACCAGGTGTTACAATACAATATACTCAAAAGTAGAGAGTAATATGAACACTAAACCTAACCCAAAGCCACTGCTGTGACTCTGTGGCTGTAATCTGTATAGAAGCAGATGGACACAGTTTTCTCCCATGGAGTGGCTTATGGGTTTGAAGCACTGAACTCACAGTTGGCAGGCAAGTGCTACAGGCACTGCACTCCCAAAGTGACTATTGCCATCAAATCCATTCTGACTCATAGTGATCGTACAGGATATAGTTTCAAAGCTGTAAATCTTTTCAAAAGCAGAATGCAAAATTTTTTTCTTGTCAGGCAGGAGGTAAGTTCAAATAGTTAATCTTTTAGAAACCACCAGAATCCTATAACATTGATAATAACAAAAACTTGAATTGACTGATTTACATAGTTTGAAATGACTTCACAACAACAACAGCTTTCTTGAAAGTCTAAGTAATCTATTGTTATACAAATTCAGTTTAGTCCACAAAAAGCTATTTTTTAAGGTAATTACTTTTTAATTTTAAGAAAATTTTATAAACATAGCTGGCTTAAACATGTTAGCAACAGTTATAACTGTCCTGAGAATTTATACATAGGAATTAATTTCCTTAATAATTATAAATGATATAAGTATTTCAGAGAATTACCTTGTATTTCCTTTGGTGAAGGACAATTTTGAACCCTGATTTCTAAGGATTTAATTAAAACTAAGGCTGCAGCTCTCAGAGTCACATGATCCAGACCAGAGTTGCTATCTTTCCCAGGCTGAGTGTTTTCGCCTCCAAAGCGAGCAGGATTCCCAAGAACAGACAAGGTCCTGAGCCATCCTAAATTCACAGCTTGCAAAACAGCATTCGCTACAGTCAACATGTCCCCATAAAAAAGAGGATCCGTTGGCATTAAGACTGGAGCACATCCACGAAAGAGGTCTTCACTCACTTTACAGAGCAAGCACTTTTTAATGAAGATTATGAATTTCCTTTTGACAAAACCTGGAATAGGCCAGGTAGGGACATCTAGCACACAAGTAGGTTTCAAAAAGAAAATCCTCTGGCAAGTATAAAACAACTTCAGGTAGAGTCTAGAGGCTGTAAGAAGTTCAAGCAACTCCAAAAACCCAATCAAGCTGCTTATTACTTTTGAAGTCTCCTGGATGCTTTCAAAATGCTGAGAAAGTAAGGAAATGTAAAATACTTCAAAAGTAGTATCAAAAGGAGCCAGGAATGCCCTTAGAATTTCTGGAATTATAAAAATAGTAGTTGTAAACAACAGGGAAAAACAAAGGTTTTTAAGACACGCTTATATATAAATAGATTTTTATAAATATTAGAAGATAAAAAAGGTATTCTTAACTTCTAACATGAGCAAATAAATATACGAAGATCATCCTGTAACACCCACTATTGTCTTCAATTTCACAAATATAAATACTATTGGACTTTTTGGGGAATAATAATCATGAAAAGCTTTCATTTTTTTTCCACCTAACAATTTTTTCTTTTTAAAAGGCATGTATCCTCAGTAAGAAAATTATGGCAAAATTCTTTAGATTGTCACACACTAAAATAGACTAGAGGTTGTATAATAGGTTCTAATCTTCAATATAAATAAGATACTCAATCTATTTGGGAGCAAGAAGTGGTATTTATAAAAAAACAATCATTCTTACCTGTTTTTTGTGCACATGTATCTTTAAAGATTTCTTTTATTATCACTGTGAGAGTCCTGAGGCAGTACACTACTGTATTACTCTCAGAATATTCAGAAAGATTTTTTTGGCAAAAAGTAATTCCAGAATTGCTCAAAGTTATCTGTGAGTGGACAAAAAATAAAATTAGATGCTCTGGTAGAATATATTTTTACCAACTAGTTATTATACACATCATAATGCTATATAATATTGAATATTAAATTTGTTTAGCTAAAAGAACATGATGATATTTCATAAAAGAAAAGAAAACAGAAATACCCTGATATTTTTTAAGTGATTCAATGTGCCCTAGGAACAAAGGACCAGAAGGAAGCATAAAAAAATATTAGCAGTGGGCATTTCTAAGTAGTAGAATGACAGATTTATATTTTATTCTTTATATTTGTTTCCATTTCCCATTCTCTACCATGAACTTCACCTCTTTTAGTCAGAAAAAAAATGTAGAAATAAGTAATCATAGCTGAAAGAATATACATAGATTTCATTGTTTAATGAATCTGATAAGAGAAAAATCTACTGCTGAGTTTGTATAATTTTTTACCATGCTGAGGATCATTCTTAGAATTTATTTCTATTAAGCTTGGGTGAAGCCACAAAAGGTGTAACGATTGGTCTTTGACTGCCTGGGGTAAAAAAAGAAAGAAAAGCAAAGATGCATATATATCACTGTTCAAGTGACGAAGGAGATGAAAGGGGTGGGGGGGGAGAAAAACACATGCTGTGGAAAAAACCGTTGGAGAAACTCAATATCAGCCGTGAAAACTAGGTCAGGAGCTGATTGTGGAACAGACCACCAACTACTTAAATGCAAGTTCAAGCTGAAACTGAGGAAAATTAAACCAAATCCACAAGAGCCAAAATATGACCTTGATTTCATCCCACCTGAATTTCAGAATTATCTCAGGAACAGGTTTGAGGCCTTGAACACTAATGAGCGAAGACCAGAGGAGTTGTGGGAGGATGTCAAATGTATCATCCAGGAAGAGTGCAAACGATCATTACAAAGACAAGAGGAAGAAAAGACCTAAATGGATGTCAGAAGAAATTCTGAAGATTGCACTGGAGCGTAGAGAAGCCAAAACACAAGGAAGAATTCAAGATACTAAAGAGCTGAACAGAAGATTCCAAAAGGCAGCTCGGATGACAAAGCAAAATATTACAATGAAATGTGTGAGGAGCTAGAGCTGGAAAATCAAAAGGGCCGAACTCGCTCAGCATTTCTTAAGCTCAAGGAACTGAAGAACAAATTTGAACCTAGAGTTGCTATAGTCAAGGATGCTTTAGGCAGAATATTAAATGATCAGGAAGTATTAAAAGAAGATGGAGGGAATATACTGAGTCATTGTATCGAAAAAAATTGGCAGATACAGAAGAATTTAATGAAATAACATATGAGCAAGAGCCTATGGCGATGAAGGAAGAAGTTCAAGCTGTTTTGAAGGAAATGGCAAAAAGTAAGGCCCCAGGAATAGATGGTATACCAATTGAAGTATTTCAGCTAAAAGATGCTGCCCTGGATGTGCTCACCAAGTTGTGCCAAGAAATCTGGAGAACAAGTACTTGGCCAACTGACTGGAAGAGATCTATATTTGTTCCCATTCCAAAGAAGGGTGACCCAACAGAGTGTGGAAACTACAGAACAATATCATTGATTTCACACGCAAGCAAGATTCTACTGAAGATTATAAAAAAACGACTGGAACAGCACATTAGCAGAGAACTGCCAGAAGTCCAGGCTGGGTCTAGAAGGGGTCGTGGTACTCGGGATATTGTAGCTGATGCTAGATGGATCTTAGCTGAAAGCAGGGAATACCAGAATAATGTCTATCTGTGTTTCATTGATTATGCAAAGGCGTTTGACTGCATGGATCATAACAAACTGTGGCTGACTCTGAGAAGAATGGGAATCCCAAAAAAACTAAACGGGCCAATGCGAAACCTATACGTGGACCAAGAGGCAGTAATCAGAACAGAGCAGGGCAACACTGAATGGTTCAAAATTGGGAAGGGTGTACGCCAGGGATGTGTTCTGTCTCCATACCTTTTCAACCTGTATACAGAGCAGATTATCAGGGAGGCTGGGCTCTATGAGGAGAATTGTGGCATCAGGATTGGTGGAAGATCTATGAACAATCTGCGTTATGCAGATGACACAACCTTGCTTGCTGAAACTGAGGAGGACCTCATGCACTTACTGCAGAGGGTCAAGAACTACAGCCTTCAGTATGGACTGAGGCTCAATATCAAGAAGACAGAGATTCTCACCACTGGACCAATTGGTAGCATCAGGATGGATGGCAAAGAGATTGAGATTGTTCACAGCTTCAGTTTGCTCGGCTCCACTGTCAACAGTCTCGGCACTGGCAACCAGGGAATAAAAAAACTTATTGCGATGGGAAAGTCTGCTGTTAGGGACCTCTATAAAGTACTCAAGAGCAATGGTGTCTCTCTGGAGACTAAGGTGTGCCTGATACAGGCCATAGTCTTTGCAATAGCTTGTTATGCATCAGAGAGTTGAGCAATGACTAGGGAGGACAGAAGGAGAATTGATGCCTTTGAACTGTGGTGCTGGAGAAGAGTGTTGAATGTACCACGGATTGCCAAGAAAACAAACAGATTTATCCTGGAGAGGATTAAACCAAGCTACTCCTTGGAGCCAAGGATTCTGGGGCTTCATCTGACATACTTTGGGCATGTTGCAAGGAGGGACAGTTCCTTGGAGAGGGACATCGTGCTCGGGAGGGTGGAGGGATGGTGCAAGAGAGGAAGACCCTCTATGAGATGGATTGATTCAGTGACTGAGGAAATTGGGATGGGTGTGTCAGAGGCAGTGCGATTGGCACAGGATAGAGCAGGGTTTAGGGCTGTTGTACATGGGGTCGCTATAATTCGCAAACGACTGGACAGCACATAACAACAACCAACAACAACAGGTGAGCAGCAAGATTATTGGAGATAAAGCAAAGTGTGCCAGGAGGTGTATCTATTTTGTGTTTCATTGACCTTTTCAAAGGCCTTTGGTTGTATGGATCACAACAAATTGTGGCTAACCTTGAGAAGAATGGGGATCCCCAGAAAACTTGACTGTGCTATGTGAAACCTATACTTGGAACAAGGAGGATTCCTCAGAACAGAGCAAGAATACACTGCTTGGTTCAAAATCAGAAAAGGGATTTCATCAGGGAAATCATCAGGGATATGGCCTATCTCCATACCTTTCCAATCTGTATATAGAATAGATCATTTAGGAACCACAGCTTTATGAGGAGGAATGTGGCATCAGGATTGCCATAAAAAATCTGTTATGCAGATGATACAACCTAGCTTACTGAAACTGAGGAAGACCTGAAGTATTTGTTGGAGACAGCCAATGAAAGTAGTCTTCAATATGGATTGAAGCTCAACATCAAGAAGACAAAGATTTGCACCATTCCCAACTGGCAGCACAGTGATAGATGGAGAAGATATTGAGGTTGTTAATAGTTTTAGCTTGCTCAACTCTATAATCAACACTCTTGGCACGAGCAGTCAAGAAACCAAAAGGCAAATAGGGAAATATGTTATCAGGGACTTCTCCAAAATACTAAAGAGCAATGATGTCAGTCTAGAGACTAAGGTGTACCTGAGTCAGACCATGGTCATCACAATTACTTGCTATGTATCAGTGAGTTTTACAATGATTTAGGATGATAGAAATAAGAACTGATGCCTTTGAGTTGTATTGCTGGAGAAAAGTAGTGATCATACCATGGGTCACCAAGAAAAGAAACAAGTCTGTCTTAGGATAAAACAAGCTGCTCCTTGGAGGCAAGGATTTTGAAGCTTCATCTCACATTATTTTGGGCCTGTGGCCTAGAGAGAGCAGTCCTTGGAGAAGGACATTATGCTTGGAAGGGTAGAAGGATAGCACAGGAGAGGAAGACCCCAGATGAGATGGACTGACACAGTAACTCGGGTAAGGATAGGGAAAGGCTTAGAGTTATACAGGGTCACTATGAGTCACAGTTGACAGCACATGACAATAACAGGTGAGCAGAGACTAGTAGATGGATGGGAAGGGTGAAGTTAAAAGTAAGGTATAGTGAGGATTTGATGAGAACTTATGATAAATGGCACTGATCAATTTTAATTAATATTCTAAACTAAAATAGGACTAATGGACCACTCAAGCCTCAACCTCTACTACCCTCAAGGCAGAAGACCTGGACAGTGCATGGCTACCACTGCTGCCCACTCTCACAGGGTAAAAAAAAATATGTAGAACATAACTCAAAAACATAAACATGGTCAGGCTTACTGAGTGGCAGAAACTCAAGACTATGGCGTTTAGTCACCCTCTGAACCTGGACCAAACCTCAGCCCTAATGCTTAGCTTCAGCCACACAACAAACACGTCTATGGCAAAGGATAGGGCAGGATCCAGATCTACTGTTCATAGTACCACTATGAGCTGCAGTGGATTCAATAGCACAAAAGCAACTATAACAACATAAGGTAAACATACTAACAGTAGTCAGTTATTATATACTAGCAATGAGGCACTCCTTATAACAAATAAACAAGACAGCAAGGGTAGGATACAAGGATTAATAAAAATGAGAATGATAAGAAAGACTTGAGAAGAGTGTACTTACGACATGAGTATTGTAATTAATGGAAAACAATATGCTTTCAAAATGTTCCTTCAAAAAAAATTTTTTTTTACTTGCTATGCATCAGTGAAGACCATTAGAGGATATCAAGAATATCATCCAGGAAGAATGCAGGGGGTCATTACAAAGACAGAGGAGGAAGAAACACCAAGGTGGATGTTAGAAGAGACTATGAATATTGCAATAGAGTGCTGAAAAGTCAAAGTAAAGGGAAGAAATCAAGATATTAAGGAGCTGAACAGAAGATTTCAAAGGGCAGAGCATGACAAGAAAGTATTATAATGAAATGTACAAAGAGCTAGAGTCAGAAAATCAAAGCCTACTTAGCATATCTTAAACTGAAGGAAGTGAAGAACAAATTCAAGCCTTGAGCTGCTATTAGAGACCTCTCCAAAGTGCTGAAGAACAATGATGTCAGTCTGGAGATTAACTAAGGTGTGCCTGATCCAGGTCATGGTCTTTGTTAATTACTAGCAATGCGTCAGAAAGCTGGACAATGACAAGGGATGATAGAAGAATTGATGCCTTTGAGCTTGGTGCTGGGGAAAAGTACTGAATATACCATGGACTGCTAGAACAAACAGGTTCATCCTAGAGAGGGTGAGACTAGGCTGCTCCTTGGAGGCAAGGATTCTGAAGCTTTGTCTGACATATTTTGGACATGTTCCAAGGAAGGACCAGTCCTTGGAGAAGAACATCATCCTTGGGAGGGTGGAGGCACAATGCAAAAGAGGAAGACCCTCAATGAGATGGACTGATTTAGTGACTGGGGTAATGGGGTTAGGTATGTCAGAGACAATAAGACTGGAAAAGGATAGAGCAGTTTAGGGCTGTAGTACATAGGGTCAGTATGAGTCACAGGTGACTCAATGACTCATAACAACAACAACAACATGCATCAGAGACCTGGACAATGACTAAGGACAATAGAAGAAAAATCAATGCCTTTGAGTTGTGGTGCTGGAGAAGAGTACTGAATATACCATGGACTACTAAGCGAACAAACAGGTTTGTTCTGGAGAGAGTGAAACCAGAGTGTTCCTTGGAAGCAAAGATTTTGTAACTCTATCTGACATTCTTTTGGCATGTTGCAAGGAGGGACCAGTACTTGGAGAGGGGCATCATATTTGGAAGTGTGGAGCGACAGTGCAGGAGAGGAAGACCCTGGAGACAATTAAGTTGGTTCAAGATGAAGCACGATTCAGGGCTGTTGTACAAAGGGCCACCTATGAGTCGGATTTGACTTGATGGCACATAACAACAACAGCAACATACAAAATGTTTAAAAATGGCCATAGTCTCAAGAAGAGGCTCTAAGCTGCTTTTTATTTGTGGCGGGAGATTGGAGGGGTAGGGAGAGCAAGTAGAGGGATAAATACACAACCTCTGATCTCAAGATATTCACTGATCCCTAGAAATGAGTTTTACCTCCAGGGTTAAAATCTACTGAAATAATAATATAATTTTAACCTTTGATGCAAGCTATTAATATATTACTTCATTTTCTCATCTTTATGTATTTACACATGTATTATATGAGTAAAACTATATTACTATTAATATTTAAGGTATGGAGTTTATCTTTCAGTATGACTATGCTAGTCATTAAATTGGACTTGAATATGGGGAAAGGTGGGAATATGCAAATAGGGCATGGTAATCTATCCACAAGGGGACTGGCTAGTTTTGCCAACAAATTCAGCGGCTAGAAGCAGATTAGACTTTCTCCAACAGTGACAAAGAGAAGATGAAGCAGCAAGAGAATGCAGTGCCCTTCAGGACCAGACATTGTTCCTCTAGCTACACCTGTAACAACAGCCGCCATAGCCAAAACAGAGTATCAGAGAAACCTGATGTGAAACAGAGCTGGCTGCTAACCCCATATGGACAGAACCAGAACTAAGCTAAGAGTGACCAAGTTTGTTGGAAAATTTGGAGGCTGGGGAGATGGAGAACCAATAATGGCATGACTGAGAACTTTGTAATACTGGTCTACACCCGTGAGGCTCAAGGCTGAGGTGTCTGCATGTACATTTCAATAGCTGTCCTGTCTATATTCAGCTACTAATCTGGATACTATCCTACTATCCTTAACCAACATGGTTGTGTGCTGTTTTTAGGTATCAGACTAGATTTTGGACCCTGCAAAGCAGTGGAACTGGTGTTGGGATGACTAGGAGGTATGGGAGTGTGGGGGACATGTCAGACATCACTGATTTTATGTTATTGATGCTGTTGACAGGGACAGTTCTCCTTTGTGAAACTGGTAAAGGTAGGCATGGTCATCCCCCACACGGTCCTTGCTCTTTTTACAGAAGGACAAAATAAAATTACAAAGAATAAGTTCAAAGAAACAATAAGGAAAATAATATGACTTGATTACTTAGCTCACGTTTTCTCTCAGCTGGAAGTACAGAAGTAGTGCAAGACATTCTGCTGTCATATGAGACAGTAATTTATCTGAACTTTGGAACACACAGATCTGTAGAAAATAAAAGTATTTAACAATTACTGCTAAATGTTTTTTAATCTTTCATTTAAAAAAACCTAAAACTTAAAAAAAAAACACCCACAATACAAACAAACCAAATGGCTTACTAATTTAGAATCTACTTGGTATGATCTTAGAAGACTTTTAACCAAAGTTCTGTATTTCTTCTTCATCTGGAACTCGGTTTTGACAGACAATATTCTATCTATCATCACTCTGATCACTGTTAATTGAAGCAGCATTATTTCTCGAGCACTGCTTATTTCAGGGAATTTCTTCAAACACATGGGTGCTACTGAAACAGCAGCTACACTGACAGAACATGGCTGATGAGCTGACCGCTCTGTGGAAGTCACTTTAGAGCAATCTTCATCTAGAAATGCTGGATTGAGATAAAAGATGTAATCATCTTTTTCATTTTTCATGTCATTTTCAAGTGAAGCTCCAAGAAGTATGTTCTTGTACAGTTGAGCTAAAACTTCACAGAAAGTTTTCATTTTAATTTCCAAAATGTATCTTATAAGACTGACAACTCTAATAAACTTTATAATTCTGAGAAGAATGAAACTTTAAGATGCTTCTTCAATAGGCCTAAAAGAGAAAAAAAAAATAATTAACTATTAGACATTACAAAGGAACAGACATTGTTTCCATTGCACTCCTATGCCAACTCCTAAGCATCACTCATGGCTTACTGGAAAAACTGAACATGATTTTTAAGTCCATAAAAGTGGTCTTTCCATTTGAAAGCATGTAATTTTCCCCCCCATTTACTTGTACTAGAAACTTAACACATCCTCTAATATCTTTCCTAGACCTGCAGATATGCTGAACCTTGGCACTATTAGCATTTGCGGTTAGATAATTCTCTGTTATGGCACCTGTCCTGTGCATAGCAGAATGTTTAGCAGCACTTGCTGGTCTGTGTTCACTAGAAGAGGACAGTGGTGGTTCAAAGGCAGAGCACAGTTTTTGTGTCTGAGTGTCTGGCCAGAACATCTCATGCACAGCTATCACCCATCTATCAGTGGGGCTTATGATGCCAAACATGTTTATGGACATTCCCAACTCAAATGCTTGGTGATCCACTACTAACAATTGGCAAAAAAACCCAGCTTGTGAAAAAAGGTCCACCTTCCAGCATTTTGTCACCAAGAACCCTGAGCCAATATTAGGGCAGCTAACAAAGCAAGCCAAGAAATCCTGTACAACTCCTGTCTTTATTATTGTTGTTAATCTATACTTAAAAAAAAAATTCTAGTTACATTGTTATGAGGCTGATGGTATAGATGCAATACTTATTCATTCCCAATTTAAATTATAAATGGAATGAACCATTTTTAATTACCTATTCAAACATATGCACCAACAACTAACACTCAAGATAAGAAAACGGAGGATTTCCGCCAATCTTTGCAGCCTAAAATCAGTCAAAGATGCAATCAAGATTCATTCATAAATAATGGTGACTAGAATGTGAAAGTGCCTAAGAATGTTTGGTCACTGGAAATTATGGATTTGATGAAAAAAAAATGAGATCAAATGAATGAATTTTGAATAATCAAGAATTTATTCATTGCAAACACTTTCATTAAAAAAAACAGAAATGGTAACTACACATATAGACTTCACCTTATGGACTACAAAGGAATCAGATTGACTACATCTGTGGAAAGAATCAATGGAGAAGATCAGTATCAGGAGTCAAAATCAGGTTTGGTGCTGACTGTGGACTACTATTCGAGTGCAAGTTTAAACAGAAACAGAAGAAAATGAAAACAAATCCTTAAACCCCCAAATGACTATGAATCTATCCAATCTGAATTTAAAAACTACCTCAAGAACAGGTCTGAGGCATTAGAAACTTTAAGATGCTTCTGAAAAGACTTTAAGATGACTGAAAAGACAGGGGAGAAAGAAAAGACCAAAATGGATGTCCGAAAACTCTGAAAATTGCACTAGAACTCGAGAAGTCAAAACAAAGGGAAGAAATTACAACAAGAGTTGAACAGAAGGTTTCAAAGGGCAGCTTGAGAAGACAAAGAGAAGTGTTTAAAAAAACCATTTGAAAAACTGGAAGTTACGAAGAATGTGGCATCAGGATCAGAGGAAAATTCATCAGCAACTTGTACTGTGCAGAGGACACAACCTTGCTCGCTACAAATGAAGAAGACTGAAGCACTTGCTGCAGACTATCAAGGACTGCAGCTTTCACTGTGGTTTACATCTCAACACCAAGAAGACAAAAATCCTCATCATATGAATGAAAAACAGTGTGAAATACAATGTATATGAACACTGCAAGCAAACCAGTATTTTTTTTAAAAAGGCCACACCAACAGGCCAATAGACAACATCATGACAGATGAAGATAAGATTGAAGTTGACAATTATTTCATTGTACTTGGATCTACAAACAACACGCTGGCTACCAGCAGTCAAGAAATCAAAAGACAAGCCACGTTGGGAAAATGTGCTGTTAGGGACCTCTCAAGCGTACTAAAGAGAAATGATTTCAATTTAGAGACTAAGGTGTGCCTGACCCAAGCCACAGTCTTCTTGATTGCTTGCATCTGAAAATTGGACAATGAATAATGATGACAGATGAATCAATGCCATTGAGTTGTGGTGTTAGACAAGAGGACAGAATATCCCATTTGCTGCCTAGAGAACAAACAAGTCTGTCCTGGAGAAAGTGAAACCAGGGTGCTCTTTGGAGGCAAGAATGTTGAAACTTTGTCTCACTTATTTTGGGCAAATTATTAGGAGGGACCAATTCTTGACAAGGACATCATACTTGCAAAGTTGGAGGGTCAACCAAACAGAGGAAGACCCTCAATGAGATGGAGTGACACAGTGACTCTATCACTGGACTCAAGTGTGTCCATGTGGTAGGTACGTTAGAGTTCAGATCCATGGTTCAGAGGGTCACTATGAGTTGCAGTAGATTTGATGATACGTAACAACCACAACATAACAATAAAGAAAAGCTTTAAAATTGTCATGTCAAGTGAAAAGAGTTTATACAAAAACAATCCAAATATCTGCAAAATGCACTTGTAACTAAATGCAAATAGAAACATTCTTGTAGTTACAGGGTTGCTGCATTGCAATCTCTTGGTGGTAATAGGTTTGTTTATTTATTTCAGTAGTTATAAACACCTCTGATCATTTCCCCAGACCTCAAAAAAAGGAGGAGAGTAAATGATATTTTGGGTTGTTGTTGTTATGTGCTGTCAAGTCACTTATGACACATAGCGACCCTATGTACAACAGCGCTGAAACCTGCTACATCCTGTGCCAACTTTACTGTCTCTGACACACCTACCCTCATTACCCCATTCACTGAACCAATCCATCTCATTGATGGTCTCCCTCTCTTTCTCTGTCCCTCCACCCTTCCAAGCATGACATCCCTCTCCAAGGACTGTTCTCTCCTTGCAACATCCCCAAAGTATGTCAGATGAAGCCTCAGAATCCTTGCCTCCTAGCAGCAGCCTGGTCCTACCCCTTCTAGGACGAACCTGTTTGTTCTCCTGGCAGTCCATGGTATATTCAACACTCTTCTCTAGCACCACAGTTCAAAGGCATCAATTCTCTATCATCCCTTGTCATTGTCCAGCTTTCTCATGCATAGCAAGTAGTGATGAAGACTATGACCTGGATAAGTACACCTTACTCTCCAGACTGATGTGGCTGCTCTTCAGTACTCTGGAGAGGTCCCTGACAGCTGACTTTCCCAATGTAATTAGTCTCTTAATTTTTCTGTCTGCTGGTACCAACAGTGTTGATTGTGGAACCAAGCAAACTGAAGTTGTTAACAATCTCAATCTCTTTACCAATCAGCCTAGTGGTGTGAATCTTTGCTTTCTTGATGTTGAGCTTCAATCAATAATTGAAGGCTGCAGTCCTTGATCTTCTGCAAAAAGCACTTCAGGTCCTCCTCAGTTTCAGCAAGCAGGGTTGTGTCTTCTGCATAACGCAGGTTGTTGATGAGTCTTCCTCCATTCCTGATGTCACATTTCTCCTCATACAGCCCAGCCTCTGTTGATGATCTGTTCTGTATATAGACGGAAAAAGTATGGAGACAGAAGACATCCCTGGTGTACATCCTTTCTGATTCTGAACCATGGAGTGTGATTCTGAACCATGGAGTGTCTCCTTGCTCTGTTCTGATGACTGCCTCGAGAAAACAAGAACTGAGGCACAAACAGAGACTTGTACATCAATGTTTATAACAGCATTATTCACCATCGCATGAACATGGAAACAGCTCAACTATTCAAACGCAATTGACTGGATTGAGAAATTATGGTACATTCACAAGATGGCATACTACACAGCATGCAGGAGCAATGACTTTGTAAATCACTATCTAATTTGGAAGGGACTAGAGAGCATTATACTAAGTGAACTCACTCCCATAAGGACAAATACTATATAAGACCATTATTATAACTAGATACAATTTTTAAAGCAGAGATTCACAGCAAACAACTAATCAGTGTTAGAGGAAAGGTGTAGTTACTTACTACAGAGAAAGTTTAGCATTGAATAAGTAAAAAAGATTACTGAATATCCTTTCAAAAAATGCTGAAGCCTCTGGTAACCATTTGAGTTTTAGGGCTGCTTATGCTCCTTACTGGAGACTAAGGCACACTGATCCAGGCTATAGTCTTCACAATTACATGCTATGCATCAGAAAGCTGGACAATGACTAGAGATGACAGAGAGAGAATTGATGCTTTTGAGCTGTGGTGCCAGAGATGAGTACTGAATGTACCATGGACTGCTAAGAGACCAAACAGGTTCAATCCAAGAAAGGGTGAAACCAGGCTGCTCCTTGGGGGCAAGAAATCTGAAGCTCTGTCTGACATACTTTGGACATGATGCAAGGAGGGATCAGTCTTTCGAGAGGAACATCATGCTTGGAAGGGTGGAAGGAGAGTACAAGAGAGGAAAACCAGATGAGATGGATTGATTCAGTGACTGGGGTACTGGGAGTAGGTGTATCAGGGACAATAAGGTTGGCTCAGGATAGAGCAGGGTTCAGAGCTATATAGCTGTATAGTACATAAGGTTGCTATGAGATGCAAGCGACTCAACAACATATAACAACAACATTATACTTCTGCTAGATAGTTCAAGGATAAAGGGGAATTTAGAAATGGTTGCTTAGAAATCTAATAAAAAAGGGAGCTCTAGTGGTCTAGCAGTAAGGAATCCCACTGCCAACCCAAAGGCAGACAGTTCAAATCCACAAGATGTTAGTTGGAGGCAAGAGAAACAGGTTCATTTCCTCCTGTGTAATTTACAACCTCTGAAAAAGCCCCACTTGAAGGGTCAGTTATGAGTTGGTTCCAACTCAGTAAATAGCACATAACAAAAATAGTAGATTTTAAAAAAATTAGAAATTGTAACCTTCCCCCCAAAATATTATCTTTCCAAATAGATTTCTGTTTTATTATTTTCCAAGAAAAGTAACTTTATTGCTAGT